CCCCCCAACCCCCCATTGGTATTTTTTTTGTACTTTTTCGTTAATAACTTTTTAACGAATAACGAGCGACGGCTAAAACCACCTGAAGGTTACTTGGGGTCATGCCCTTGACAACATATATAAAGGGCAAGATCATTGGAGCAGCCTCCCTTCATCGGTATATTTACCGTAACTTTTAATAATTAATTACAAGTCCGAAGATAGTATTAACTTTGACAAATGGACCAAAATTAGACTATACCAGTAGACAGACAATGTCGAGAAACGTATTTTGGACAAATGATCATTGGATCGAATTTTTGAAATTGTCTTAATTTTTTCTAAGTCCTGAGGGAGTATTAACTTTGAAAAATGGATCAAAATTTGACTATCCCAGTCGATAGACAATCTCGAGAAACGTATTTTGGACCTATGATTATTTGCGCGATTTTTTGAAATTTTCATATTTTTGTCTAACAATAAGTCCTAAGGGAGTGTCATTTTGGAAAAATCGACTAAATTTGTACTACACCGATGGATAAAGAATGTCGTGAAACGTATTTTGGACCTATGATTTTTTGCCCGATTTTTTTTTTTTTGAATATTCCAAATTATTTACAAGTTCAAAAGATGTATAAACTTGGAAAATTGGATAAAAATTGGACTATACCAATCGATATAGAATGTTCGGAAAATGCGTTTTGGATTTAACAATTTAAGACCATATTTTGAATTTTTTTTTTTTTTGTATTGTCAAGGTTTGGTTAGTCAAGATTAGGTTGTGACCGGACTTTACGTCAAGAGTATTAATATTTCTTTTGGCCATTTTGTGCTTGTCACTCATCTGACTAACGTTCCGTTCGACAGCGCGGTTTTTATACATTGACTCAAGATGTAATATATTTTTCCTTCGATGCGATCCGTTTATTTGTCACCTGAGGATGGGATCACATGACATTACGATTGTCCAACGAACGATCTCACAACGAGCGATAAGCGACCTTCGTGCGAGCGGAAAGAACAAAGCGCTAATGTAAAGTAGAAGAAAAGAAATAATTTTTGTATTTTTTACCCACTGAAGATGGCTCAATGCGGAGCCGAAACGTTTGGGTGATAATGATTATTGTTTAAATATATGTAATTTTAGCACTAATTTCGTGCAAGGCTCACTTGCCCTTCATTTGATACTTCTTAATTTTTAATTATATGAGCCAGAGTAATATATTATATTTAGAATAAATATTAATGTAGGACTTATACGGGGTGTCTCGTACTCAATGGTACAGCGCTTGTGGGCAGGTAGTGTGGACCAAACTGAACAAAAAAGTCCTGTACCATTTTGCGATCTTTGCAATAGTTTTCAAAATATTAATATATAAAGCTCGTCAAATCTGAACGTGCGGCGAGATACACCCGCCCACCGCGGATCGCGGTTGCCTAGCGCGCGGCCTATGGTAGGGGTAATTGATTTAGATATGCCACTACACGATCGCTTAGCGCGCGGCGTAGGGTGGGGATAATCCATTGCGCGCGCTAGACAATCAATTACCCCCACCATGCGCCGCGCGCTAGGTGACCGCGGTCCGGCGGGCGGGCATATCTCGCCGCGCGTTCAGATTCGATGAGCTTTATATTAAGCAACGCGGTAGCGGCACGACGCCAAGTATATAAAAGTCGGATGATGTCCTGTGAGTATACGGCATTGGCACTGTCGCTACCGCTTTATCTCAAAATTTTGCCTTATCAGATTTCCAATTTCAATATCTCGGAAACGAAAGTTCTAATGAAAAATCTAATGACACTTTCATTATATAATGTTGATACAAACTTTTGATTGAGATCAGTTCGAATGAAATCGGTGCAGTCAATTTCGAGATCTCGAAATCGAGTCTATAAAAATGCCACTTGAGCGTTCCAGTTTTCAGTATTCTTCTTGTTCAGACCGTCCACCAAGACGCACTCACAACGCCCAAAGCGAGCGACAAGTCTGTCAAGATGCGTTCTTATGAAGTTATACGCGTGCAGTTCAAAAACATAACGTCTTTGGCTGCGTTCCGTTTGGCGCTTACAGCTGCTTGCAGCGCTCACAAAA